CAACTTGTCAGACACTGCAACAGTGCATCACTGAAAGTTTCAGGGCCTGCAGCACCCAGTACCTTCGTCCATCTCCTGCACTCGAAGTTAAGTAAACAGTGACTTGAAGAATTGAGACACTTATGCAACACATGGGAATCTTTATTGAAGAAACGTTTCGCCACACAGTGGCTTCATCAGTCCAATATAAAGTAGAATTGGGTAAGGAGAGGAGAAGTTTGAGGTAATCAGTCCCTCAATCTGGAATCGATGTGTTCAGTCCATCATTCTTGTAGGAAGTGCAGCATAGGAACGAACGAACGAACGAAAGTTCAGGTAAGATCCCAAATGGGATGAGCGGGGAAGATGGGACAGACGAAGAATAGTGGAAATATAAACACATATGCAGTATAATGTGATCCTTTATTGACAACGTTTCACCCACACAGTGGGCTTTTTCAAGTCACAAACAGATCTACCTGGGGTGGAAGGTACGAGAGTATTTATAGTCATGTTCAGAATGTTGAGGTCAGGTGGAGAATGCTGCATCTGATGATCTACTGGGTGGGGTTATAGAGTCTTGGGTAGCTTGGCAGGGGTATTGGACAAGTTGTGAGTAGACCTTCTGCAGTGTTCTATGTTCTTATGTGGGATAGCGATGAAGAAGTTTCTTGGCGAGTGGTTCAGCTATGTTATAGAAGACGTTGTTCTGGTTGAAACAACAACTTTTTTGTACGCACAGTACACTTCAGCATCACAGTCCAGCACCACGTGGACAGACACATGGCTTCTGCCGAAAGGAAGAGGTCACGATGTTCCAGGGACACGACGGATGACTCGGATTTAGAAATGGACGACTCGGATTTAGAAATGTGGGGCGCAATCCTAGCGAAGAAGTTGCGAGACCACTCCGTGTCATCAGAGGAAAAGTCTCCAGTTCTGACAAGCCTAACCATGCAGCCAGAGAATACGGAAGGATGGATCAGTGTGAACAGTAAGACACGCCGTCCCTCCAAGGAGCAGGTAAACCAGCTCAAATCACCTTCCAGATTCAAGGTAAAGGCTTATGGGGAACACAAAACCCACTATGGCGTGGTTACACACCTGGAAACACGGCACAAACTGAGGTTCAAGATATGGTTCAACCTGAGGAGAGAACCATACTGACTCCTATCAACAGGGAAATGCATATCACCTTGAAGAAAGTCATGGAGACAGACCGCTCCTTCACCCTGGAGGAACTGGATTCTCGGCAGGTCACCAAGGGTGTAGTGATGCGATACCCGCTGATGATGCCCATCGAGGCTGTAGCAGCTCACCCTAGTGTCGTGTCAGCTCAGCGTCTCAAGGCAAAATCGGCAGGCAATGCACCAACCCGGCAGGTCCTCATTCAGCATGTAGGACCGCTGCCATCCCAGCTGGACCTTGGTTCTTGGGGCAGGTACGATGTTAGGACCTTCACGGCAGAACCAGTTCGCTGTTTCAAGTGCCAGCGTTACGGACACCTGGGTGCACTCTGTCCGAACAGAGTAATCTGCGGTGTCTGCAGCCAGCCCCACCCTACCGAGGAATGCATCACCAAGCCGAAGAATGCATCTCCACCCACTCCACGATGCCCGAATTGCAGGCAGAAACACCATGCCTGGAACCCTCGATGCCCTGAGAGGCTCACTAGAATTCGTGAGGCCTGGAAGACACCAACGACGAGACAGCAGGCTACGGCAGAGCATCACCCTCAGCAGACGATGGGTGCAGAGAATCCTGCCATACTGCAGAACTCTCATCAGTCAACCCAACTCAGTGCCCAGGAATTTCCGACCCTTGAAAACTCAACCAGGCGTCATGAACAGGAGCATCCTCCCCACTACCCCAACGAAGAAACAAAAACATGAGGAACAAGCTGCGCCAACAGGAAACATCTGGGCAACGCAATCAGCAGACGACACTACACGAGCCCCCACCGGCCTCCTTGCCAGGCACAACCACTATGCAGGCTGTGGCTGCACCTCACCAGCAGATGCCGGATACACAACCTGGCATACAGCAACAGCCCACGGTGTGCACAGTGAAGAAATACAACCGTCAGCAGTCCCCACAGATTACGACAGCCCATATAATGTCCACTGCTTCGAACCCACCGACAACGCAGGCCCTCAACAGAGAGGATCTCTTAACACTCATCAAGGCATTCACGGATATTATCTGCAACACAATCACCTCCACGGAACAACAGAGCATGTTCCGGCAGATGGTCAGCACACTCCTGAGGGTATGCTTACTGACAGAGCAGGAAGCAGTGGATGCCATGAATCCGCAGATTATCAGAGAGGACAGAGCCAAGTCCCCAGCTCAGGAAACAGCTGAGATGGAGTAACTTCAGTCGCTTATGAGGCACACTAGCTGAACTGACCGGAACTGTGCTTGAAAGAATAGTGAAATTCCAAACGCTTATATGCTGCAACAGTGAAGAATCAATTCTCCTTCAGGAGCCAGAGATGGGTCATCTCAAGATTAAGACCCTGTGCCAGGATCCTGGTCCTGTCGAACATTGTACACACACACCCCAGGTAGATCTATGTGTGACTTGAAAAAGCCCACTGTGTGGGTGAAACGTTGTCAATAAAGGATCACATTATACTGCATATGTGTTTATATTTCCATTGTGTAGGTATTTTATACCATTTATTTCCACGAAGAATAGTGCTGGAGAGGAGTGTTCTTAGCTGTAGAAATAGAGCCAGGGCTTAACCCAGCAGCTAAGTCGATCGTGGGGCAGACATTGAGAACACACATAGCAGGCTCTTCTGTTGGGACTCCGGTGGGTGAGTGGGGAAGTGTGGACAGACGAAGAATAGTCGGTGAGAGGAAGGTGTTGAGTTGTAGATGAACGAGCCAGGGCTAAACCCAGCTGCGTGGCACTGCGAGGCAGTGTAGAGAGGGCATGTTGAGGACATAGAGGAGAGAGCAGACTGCAGACAGTGCTCGCTGGATGATATGCTTCAGGCTGAGGTGAAGAGTTGGTTTGGACGTCAGGTGTCGGGAGGCTCACGTTATGTTTGGCTACACTTCGCTGGTGATGGAGCCACTCTTGAGTCTTTTGAAGTCTCTCTTGGACATGTGGAATAGTTGCATTCTGAGGTTGGAGCAGTTCAGATTCGTCACGAGGTAAGATAGTGCGTTTTCAAAAGGAATTTGGTGAGGTTTGGTGCAGGTGTACTTAACAGCTCCTTCTTTCATTAAGTGGAGCATATCAGCTGCGCTCATTTCGGTTGGGAGGTTGGGGGTGGTGTAGAAGGTTAGAGACCCATTAAAGGTTTGGCTTAGGTAACGGTTACCTGTGGTTTCTTCGTCGGTTACTTCTTCGACTACTACTTCGTCGTTGTCCGAGGGTTGTTCATAATGTTCCGGTTCTATTTCGTCTTCTGTGACTGTGTTGAGAGGAAGCAGGGAGTGTTGGTCGGTTGTGGTTTGTTGGGCTGGTGGTGGGTGGTGAAAGGTGGCAGTGGACGGTGGTGTTGGTTCTGGAGTAGAGTCTTGGTCAGAGATACGAGTAGGACCAGGGGTTGAGGTGAAGTTAACAATGTCTGGAATTAGCTTGAGGAGGTCTTGTGATGGTGGCGAGTCTGGAAAGTTGAGGTTTGGCATGTTGTTAAGGCGAAACAGTTCATTGATTGTTGTGTTGAATGAGCCAGGGTTTGCAGCATTAGTAAGGTGTGCATACATCATACAGTATAGCACCTTGGATGGAGCAGCGTCAGGAAGAGCAAAAAGGGACTGGCTGGGTGGAGATGATTGTTGTGTAGCTTGAAGAAGTTCGGTGGTATCTGATTGAATTTTTGCAATGGCGGCGTATGTTGGGGATTTAGGGTTGTTGTTCTTGGTTTCTTCAATGATTTTCTTAGACAGGACTTCTTTACGTAGAGGGCATTTTGCTGCAAGGGTGTGGTGAGTACCCTTGCAGTTGAGGCAGGTAGGAGAGGTAGTGGTAGTAGAACATTCCTTGAAGTCATGGCCGTCTTTACCGCAGTTTGTGCAGTACTTCTTCCCTTTCAGAGGACAGTCAGGCGTTGAGTGGTGATAGGAAGTAGTAGTGGTAGAAGTAAGACTGGTAGTGGAAGTAGTAGTGGTAGAGGTAAGACTGGTAGTGGAAGTAGTAGTGGTAGAGGTAAGACTGGTAGTGGAAGTAGTAGTGGTAGAGGTAAGACTGGTAGTGGAAGTAGTAGTGGTAGAGGTAAGACTGGTAGTGGAAGTAGTAGTGGTAGAGGTAAGACTGGTAGTGGAAGTAGTAGTGGTAGAGTAAGACTGGTAGTGGAAGTAGTAGTGGTAGAGGTAAGACTGGTAGTGGAAGTAGTAGTGGTAGAGGTAAGACTGGTAGTGGAAGTAGTAGTGGTAGAGGTAAGACTGGTAGTGGAAGTAGTAGTGGTAGAGGTAAGACTGGTAGTGGAAGTAGTAGTGGTAGAAGTAAGACTGGTAGTGGAAGTAGTAGTGGTAGAAGTAAGACTGGTAGTGGAAGTAGTAGTGGTAGAGGTAAGACTGGTAGTGGAAGTAGTAGTGGTAGAGGTAAGGCTGGTAGTGGAAGTAGTAGTGGTAGAAGTAAGACTGGTAGTGTAAGTAGTAGTGGTAGAAGTAAGACTGGTAGTGGAAGTAGTAGTGGTAGAAGTAAGACTGGTAGTGGAAGTAGTAGTGGTAGAGGTAAGACTGGTAGTGGAAGTAGTAGTGGTAGAGGTAAGACTGGTAGTGGAAGTAGTAGTGGTAGAGGTAAGACTGGTAGTGGAAGTAGTAGTGGTAGAGGTAAGACTGGTAGTGGAAGTAGTAGTGGTAGAGGTAAGACTGGTAGTGGAAGTAGTAGTGGTAGAGGTAAGGCTAATAGTGGAAGAAGTAGTGAATTAGTGGTAGTTTAGACTCCTATACCAACCACCTCTTTTCTAGAAAATTTGAGAGGGTATGATTTAATGCTTATTGAGTAAAGTGTTTGACCTTATCTTATATTTGACTCTACACCTACATCCTTCTTCCGGCAGGTATGGGAAGGCGGAAGTGTGGTCTGTGTTGGTGGAAATCGTGGCAATGCCTGCTGACGCTGGCACTGGTGGCACTGGTGGCACTGATGCTTCTCTCTCTCTTCATCGTATACCCAACTGGTGAGATCACATTATCTTATAATTATTGTAAGAAACATTTCTATGTGATGAATGTTACTCTTCCTTCTCTGTCTTTTATTTTTGCCTTTTTTGCAATAATTTGTCATTATATCGAAATATATAATCAAAATATTTTCTTAATTTTGTTGATCGTTCAAGGAGGTTAGCCACTGTTGTTTACTGAGATATTCTAGTAAGAAATATACATCTTAGCTTCCAAACAACTATACTATCCTATATTCCAATAGAATCAAATGATTCCCAATGCTTATAATTATAACCAAAATTTTTAGAAGGTTGGACCGGTAAGCCAGCGGAACGGCTTGGTCAGATGTCAGGAACCACTTGTCCTGTTTCCTGACATCCCTTAACTAAACTAACCTAACTATACTAATGTGTACGTTTAGATAATTGCTAATATGAAAATATAAAAAAAATGAGATACAGTGTTCTTAAATGCTAGATTATATTCTATAGCTGATAATTCATTGGGATGATTGTTTCAGGGTAATGATGGGTTATTGTTCAGCAGCTGAGCCCAAAATACAGGTTCCTGGTGTCAGCATTTTCAGTTTCATTTTTTTGGCATTGCCTCTGGAAATTCCTGCTATAAGAAACTCACAATAACATTTAACTATAAAAGATATATTCATGTCATGCCAAATGACATGACAAGGGGAAATAATTACTGGGGACTGTTACCTCCCTTGAAAAACCAAACTGTAAATTATATAATAATTTCTAAGTTCCTGTAACAGAACCTTTTACTTTTCGAAGGATCATCATTGCAAGATTTTTTCACTCTCCTAAAGTGTTTTCTCTAGACCAGAAGAGTTATTTAAATGTAAAATTGATAGTAGCAGATCTACTCTACCTGCTAGCAGATGGAAATTGGAAATTTATGGTTGTTACATCTAAATACTTGACATTCTCCTACTTCTTACAGTCAACATGATAAATCATATAATATTTATTAAATACATTAAATTTTAAGTATATTGTTCATACTCGAAATCAATAATAATGAATAGTAACTCTGGTCATTATCAAAAATACTTCCTAAGTAAAATTATAAAGATTATTTTTTTTTCTTTTACTACACTGGCTGCTTCCCACCATGATCTTGCCAGAAGTGTGTTCATCACAATACAAAATAAAAGTATTTCGGTCGAGGGTATCCCCGTATTCCGCAATCCCAGTCTCTTGAGCTCCAATACACGCGACTGGAATAGTGCAGAGTGCGACAAAAGTTGACAGTTCAGTTAAATATTAATGCTGAAGATTTGAAAGGAATCAGGAAAGACATTCATAAGTCACATGGAAACTATCATTCAGGTTTCTTCTATATCAACTGTAAATTAGGACAAGCAAAGTCCAAATTTAATTCAGACCTTTCAAAATGACCAAAATTTTGAAATACACGAGCACATTAATCATGAAACATCTCAGGAGCTTCATATGACGTTTGAGCATCGAAAGCTAAAGATAGTCAGATGCAGCAATCAGAAATTATCATGTAAAGAGCAGTAATTCAAGTTTTCCGGTGTCTTTCAAAAAAAAAAAACGAATTGTAACGTGCTAAAATCAATCGAAACTTTCTTCTAAGTCAGACTGATCAGCATTTAAGAAAGTAAGGAATTAAGTTTTATTTAAGCCCAGTGAACATAACATACATATCCTTTAGAATGGTCTTGAGGGAACTTTAATGTCATTGGCACATAAATGAGCATTAAGGTGATTTAACCGAGGGTAACCAAATGAAGTCAAACACTGTGACTTATTTCTGATCAGAAAAAGTATTCTTAAACTGTTTCAGAGAAACCAATTGCTTTGATAAAACTGGCAAATGAGAACATACACAATCTAACATCAAAATATTGTTTACTGTGGAGGAAACACATCGGTACCAAAAGTTTAAAGGCCAGAAGATGCATTTTCCAGTTATTGCACAGAATCCAACTAAATTTGTGCATAAATAAGTAAGTTTATTCAGGTATACACAAATACAGTTACATAGATTATCATACATAGCAGCATATGTGTAGAGAACCTGGGATAACCCAAAAAGTCAGGCATATACAGCCTTAATTAACCCGGGAAATGATCCATCCATTTTATGCGCTGCATCAGCCACTGAATATAAGAACATAAGAACATAAGAACGAAGGAACACTGCAGAAGGCCTACTGGCCCATGCGAGGCAGGTCCAAGTCTCCTACCGGCTTAAGCCAATGCACCCAACCTAGTCAGGTCAGGTCACATTGACTTAAGGGAGGAACACGGCAACCGACCTGGTAGCACAAGCTATCAGGTCCAACTCACACCCACCCACATCCACTCATGTATTTATCAACCTATTTTTTAAAGCTACACAACGTTCTGGCCTCTATAACTGTACCGGGAGTTTGTTCCACTCATCCACAACTCTATTACCAAACCAGTACTTTCCTATATCCTTCCTGAATCTGAATTTTTCCAACTTAAAACCATTGCTGCGAGTCCTGTCTAGGCTAGATATTTTCAGCACACTATTTACATCCCCTTATTTATTCCTGTCTTCCATTTATACACCTCATCATATCCCCCTAATTCTACGTCTTTCTAGAGAGTGCAGATTCAGGGCCCTTAGTCTATCCTCATAGGGAAGGTTTCTGATACATGGGATCAACTTTGTCATCCTCCTTTGTACATTTTCCAGAGAATTTATATCCATCCTGTAATACGGTGACCAAAACTGTGCAGCATAATCTAAATGAGGCCTAACCAAGGATATATAGAGTTGAAGAACAACCTGAGGACTCCTATTATTTATGCTTCTTGATATGAAGCCAAGGATTCTATTAGCTTTATTGCGAACACTATGCACTGTTGTCTTGGTTTCAGATTACTGCTAACCAGAACTCCAAAATCTTTTTCGCAATCCGTAATATTAAGATCTACATTATTTAGTTTATATGTGGCATGGTATTTGTCCTGTCCAACATTTAGAACTTTGCATTTGTCTATATTAAACTGCATCTGCCACTTCTCCGACCACTGCATCAGTCTATTCAAATCTTCCTGGAGTGCTCGAATGTCCTCGTCAGAATGAATTCGACGGCCTATTTTGGTGTCATCGGCAAACTTGCCGATGTCGCTCTTTATGCCCTCATCTATGTCGTTTATGTAGATTGTGAACAGCAGGGGGCCAACACTGACCCCTGTGGAACACCGCTCGTAACGCTTCCCCACTCTGATTTCTCCCCATTTATGCAAACTCTCTGCTGCCTATTTGTCAACCATGCCTCTATCCAGGAAAAAATTTCTCCTCCTATTCCATGTGCTTTAATTTTCCTCAATAGTCTCTGATGTGGGACCCTATCAAAAGCCTTACTGAAGTCCATATACACAATATCATATTCATTACCATGATCTACCTCCTCAAATACCTTAGTGAAAAAAGTTAATAAATTCGTAAGGCAGGAACGCCCCTTTGTAAAACCATGCTGAGATTCGTTGATTAATTTATGCTTTTCAAGGTGGCTACGAACTGCCTCGGCAATTATTGATTCCCATAAATTTTCCCCACTATGGAGGTTAGGCTTATTGGTCTATAGTTCGAAGCTAAGGACCTGTCACCTGTTTTGAAAATAGGTATCACATTTGCCATTTCCACTTATCTGGCACCATGCCCGTTTGTAGTGATATGTTGAAAAGATTAGCCAAAGGTGTGCTAAGCTCCTCTTTACATTCCTTAGAACCCTTGCATACAGTTCATCAGGGCCTGGGGATTTGTTAGGTTTTTAATTATCTATTTGCCTAAGGACCATGTCACTCGTGACCCTAATCGTGCACAGTTTATTCTCGTCCTGTTCTACATAATTTATCATTACTGGAATATCGCTGGTATCCTCCTGTGTAAAAACTGAGAGGAAGTATGTGTTAAAAATTGTACACATTTCCTTATCACTGTCAGTGAGCTGACCCGAGGAACTTTTGAGTGGGCCTATCTTGTCCCTGATCTTACTTCTGTATACCTGAAAGAATCCTTTTGGGTTAGTCTTCGATTCTCTTGCAACTTTAACCTCATAATCTCTTTTTGCTTTTCTAATTCCCTTTTTTATTTCTCTCTTTAACTGAATATATCGATTTCTTAATTGCCCCTCTCCTCTTTTGATTTGCCTATATATGCCTCTCTTTTGACCAATCAGATATTTTAATCTATTGTTCATCCATTTAGGATCATTTTTGTTTGATCTGATTTCCCTATTTGGAACATAATTTGACTGAGCAGCTAGAACTATGCCCTGGAAAACGTCATATCGGCAACCATCACCACCTACCTGACCCTTAGTCAGGTCATATTGATGCTTATATTTTTTTTTAATCAGAGGAAAGTGTAATCCCGTAGTCATATAGCACCTATAGAATGGGAGGCATTCAAATTCGATTCAAGCATATGAAGGATAAGTAAAGTTCCTTGGATCAAGAGCCCCTCACCAAAATCAAGGGAAAAAATGCAATAAGGGAAAATAATACTTTGCAATTTAGATGTTAAAATTGGCAAAATGGTCGACCAGAGGAACGTCTCTCCAGTCATCATCACACGGAAATAAAATAATGGGAATGGCCTTTGACATGCATCGTACACAGCTCACTCAACCATGCAAATAGTCCCATGACTCTTGCCTGATATACAGTAAAAAAGTGTCAAAATTTTTAGGCCTGTTAAATAAGGCGTTTTCGACTAATAAAATTTTTGATAAAGCAAACGAAAATGAAAATGTTTTAAAAATAGGAAAGTCTCGTCACTTTAAATTTAAAATGTCATAAATCCGCAATTTTTTATTTTTTCTCCTTTACTTTTTATTTACATTCTGTTTCAAATTCTGTATATTTCTGTAAGAAAAAAAAGATATTTAGATTTTTTGAAAGACCCAATTTGATCAAGTTGGCAAAAAAAAAAAAATGGCAAATTGGCATCCTCAGAGATTAAAATTATTAAAACAAAATACTTTTTA